GCAGCCGAGGAAGTTACCTCCCGCCCAAATAAATCTCGCAAAGAAACTAGCGCAGCCAGTGCATAAGTGCTGCTTGGCCCGTTATACCTGCCCAAGACCTGCCACACAGTCAAAACACCATGGGCCGGAGGAGGAGCGCCCCAAGTCCAGCACATACATACAATAAATGCCAGGGCAGCACTGGCCCTGGGGCGTCCCAAAGGAAACAGCAGGAAGAGGCTGGAAGTGCGCGCGAGAGGGGATTCCAGGGGAGGGAGGGACAACAACGGACTGGGGGAAGAGGGTGCCTAGTCCCCCTTCCTGTGGCTGCACACACCCCGCCGCCACCAGGGCAAGAGGCGCAGCTCAGTCTGATTTCTAGGCAGACCTAAGGCTGCTGCAGAGCCGGTGTGCCCACGTCTGAGCTCCGCTGGGTGCCCCATGCTTTCTACCCAGGCAGAGCATGCTGAGTGCCTGGCCGGGGTCCACGTCGGAGACAGGCCCCTTCTCCCTCCGAAAGCCATAGGAGCTTCAGGCCCCTGGCCTGTCCTTGGGCGCGGCAGTGACAAAGAAGGCTGGGCCCTCTCTGGGCCGACGGAAAGAGCGCTGGCTCGGCCTCTCAGGCGACCCGGAGCTGGTGTCCAGCCTGTTATGCACTCTGAGCGGTGGCCAGATCTCCCCAGCGCCAACCGCCTGAAAAGCTGAGCAGATGCTTTGGGCGCCAGGGACCCTGCCCTCTGCGCTGCCAGGCCTGAGTGACCCGTCGCTGTGCAGCTTCCCGACCTGGTTTCGAGGAACCGGGAGGGCAGCTGGGAATCCAGCAGCGACCCGGATTCGGTTCCCAGGCGCCCGGCCCGCCCAAAGGAGATCTTGTGCGACGCGAGACAGAAGCCCAAGGGACGACCTGGAGATGTCCCAGGCTCTTTCCTGCCAGGAGAAATAAGGCCCTTCTGGTTTTAAAAGAAGAAGAAGAAGAAAAAGAAAAGGTTTCTGGGTACAAGTGTCACAGGGCAGCCTCTTCCCGCCGGGCCTAGGGTAGCTCTTCCTTTTTTTGTGAATTGGTGGCGTGTGTACGTTAATATTTTAATTAATCGGGAAAATCGAAGTCCGATTTACATTATCTGGGGAGCCCCCACACGCCACTTGGAAGGGGTGAGAGAAAAGATGTGCTGGAAAGCAATCTATTTTGCTGGTGTTGGGGGTTAATGACTATTGCCAAAGATAAGTGAATTATCAAAGCTGTTGCGCCAGTCCCATCTCAAAATCCATTACGGGGCCGGCCGTCTAATTAAATACGTAAGTATAATAAAATCATATTTTATGACTATTTGAGGGTAATGAGATTAGTCTTTAGAAGCGATCGCCACATATTAAAAATGCCACTGTCTATAGAATGTTAATAACCTTAAATCAAAGTGTATGGAAACTCCTCACGATAAATTAAAAGAAAATTTCTGTATTCCTAATAAGCCCGGCGTTTTCCACTCACAGCAGACCCCCGTGCAAGAGGCAACACTTTTCTCCTGGAAAGACAACACAGAATAAAGTTGGCCATGGGTGGAGGGTGAGGTTGAGAGACGCTTTGTCTCTGTGTGTTCCAAAGCTTGGGGGCTCACACAGGGTGATCGACAGGGCCAGCATCAATGACAGAATATGCTAAGTGCCTTTTTAGACAGAGATGAAGTTGGGAAAGGAATACAATGCTTGCTTTGTAGCACACTTCCTAAAATGTCCAGCCTGGGCTGTAGGTGCCCGTCCTTGCGCTAAGGCAAGTGTCATGCTTAAAATCATTTACAGTATCTTTAATTCAGATTACACGCGCCAAGGCGATTTAAATCTGATTACCAAATTAGAAGGTTTAAAAACAAATCCTTCTAAATCTGATACTGTTGACTAAAGAGGGGGAGAAAAACTTCCATAAGCCCGTCACATAAGGTAACGATCCTGCCCCAGAAAGAAAGGGGGTTTTAAACCTTTTTGACAACAAATGCAGCTGCCCCGCTATTTTGGACGATATTAAGCGAAAATGAATGCAAATCTGTGTTCGGCAGCCATCTGGCCCGAAATGGGGGAATCAGCTGTCTCACAACAGGCTCGGAGGCTGAATCCATTTCAGCTCATTTTCTACATCATCTGGTCGCGCACCCAAAGCGTGGAAAATACGGTCTTTATCATTCACCAACTTTATCTTTTTTGTCACTCTACGGCTGGCTCTGAGCTGTGAGCACAAGGTCTCGCCGTCCAGGCAGGGTCTCCACCCTAGCCTGCTGCAGAGGAGTCTGGGTGGGCAGCCCCCATCCCATGCCACCCCCAGATTTTCGATTTGATGGGCAGCGAGGGACAGAGCACCTAAGCCAGACTGTGGGGGAGGGGCTGCCGGTCAAAATCCCCAGAGCCTTGCAAGGTGCTGGGAGCATCTCCCTCAGGAGCCCCGCCCCACACCTCACTATTTCTACGAGAGCTTAGCAGCCAGAATCCAAGAGGACAGTACCAGAGAACTGACTAGTACTTTGAAAGTTGCGCCGACCCGCGCTGGCCAGTGACCTAACCCATTCTCCCAGTCATCTCCTAAGTGTCACACAGGAGTCCAGGGACCCGGTTGGGAAGGACCCGACCTTTACCGTGGGCCCTGCGGGCTGCGACTGCGGCAGCGATCACTCCGGGCCCCGCGCCCAACGCGATTTGCACGGGTGGCCCT